ATATATGTACGATTTTTTAGTATAAAACGTATTTTTACACAAAATTTTTTCGATTTTATTTATATAATTGAACAATTGGTATTGCAATTTAGATTTGAAATAAAAAATTACAATTACATATATACATACACAGAGTTGAATATTTAAAAATATATAATATTACAATAACATTAAATAATATTATTTTTTTAATATTAGGGGTGGATATATAATCATTTATTAATATTTTATAAATATTATTTAATATTAAATAATATTACGTGTTTATAGGGTATATACGAAATAACAGTCATGATCGATTCAGCACAACACTTGTAAAAATGTTATTTTGTACGTATATATTCTTTTATTTATACCGTCACATATAAATTGGCATGATTTTCCTCGCTTCTGACGTCATTGAAGGACAGTCAGAGCGAGTATCCAGGAGGTTTAAATATCTTACAATTACAAAGAGAGAAAATTTTCGAAATTTTCGATGTTCGAATACCGAGTTTGAATGTTCGAAGTTTTTGAAAGTAAATGAAAGTTTTAATATGCAGTATATATTGTAATAAGGAGCGCTCATTGGAATAACATGAGGCTACAACAAACAGTAGTGCGAAGAGGAAAAGACTAGTAAACGAAGCTACACTGCATATATTTCAATATACTTTTCTGCAATTTTCGTGTCCCAACAATCGAGAACGTGATTTCTTTTTTGAATGAACTTTTCGTTTTGCAGGATTTGGAGCAGAAGAGGGCCGGTCAATATTTCTTCTTGGAGGAATAAGATGCATAGTATTGTGTGTGTGTATGTGTGTGTATGTGTGGCGGTGTATGGTAGAATATACAGAGTAGACAGAATACCGTTAATAAGGAGTTTTTTGTAAATCTTTATACTTTTTAAAGGTCGGGAATGGATGTTTTTACGATATGATATGATATATATCGTATATATCGATATTATTCGACGAAACTTAACTATCAACATTTCCGCTGGGTAAAATTATTATTTTACTGCGCGAGCGATGCAAAAAAATGTACAGCTAAAGATGCGTAGCTGCCGAATATCGGGACGAATAAGTGACATGAATTGTGTACAGGAGAATCGAAAGCTCACCCTCGCAGACATTGATTTCGTGCATTTACTAGCTATTTATATAATTTGTGTATATTCGATTGTCTCGAACGCGAGGAAATCTCAATGTCACAGGCACACGTTTACATGTTCGGTTCGATGAAATAATATTGAAAATCGCGAGAGCCACGCGCAACTGAATCGTCAACGAGGAAATTATTTCGTTCCGGGTTGAAGGTGCAGGAACGATGCGTTATATATCTCTCTCGATACACGATAAAAACTATAAAATTATCTCATTATTTCTTCCTGGATATTTATTTCGGATTAATATCACAATCTCTTTTTCCCGTCATTTCTTTCGTCCTTATGTTTTTCTCCCTTGTACTGATATAGGAACCTCCGTATGTAAGATTTTTTTCCTGGAGGGGGGGGAAGGGTAAGACTGGGTATAAATCAAGGTTCCCCGTCTACAGTAGCGAAGTCGTCAAATCTCCGCTTGTCAGACGACGCACACACACACACACGTGTAAATGTTCCTACGATCAGCTATACATACGACTGAGCTGCGTGCGTAGCTCGACTGTCTACTGAGCGGCAATATAGAGAGAATTCTAATACGCGGGAGAGGGAGAAACGAAGGACTTATATGGAGGTTCTATCATCGTCTATCGTTGAATGAAAGTTATATATCCTTTTCTTATTCATGTTCTCGAGTTAACAGGTAATAAAGTTCAAACGAATTTTTACCTGAAAGTAATTGTGCGGGATATACGTGTGTGCATTTGAAATTCAAGTTAACTTTATCAAACCGCTGGTTGTATTTAGAGTGCGGTCGTTAAGAGTTACGATATTCAAATTTTTTGTTTATGCTTGCACAGAACGCCAGCACATTTTTGCAAGTGCAAACGTAATCTCAAGGCCGCCGATAAATACTTCGTTGAAAATTCGTCTTTTCCTCGAAAATTCGTCTACGTCGAAATGACAGGTATTTCGGAGAAAAGAATTATTTTAGATAATGGAAAAGTGTTCCTTAATTACAGAGTATTTGAACCGTGACGTAGGTCTTACATATGTATAAACTTCTGATTCCGTGTAAATGTATGCATGCCTATTTAAACGTAATGGTACCAATTTTATCAACGTTGTTTTATCAATTTAATTTTATTTATGTGCCTGCAAAAGAAGAGACGTGCATCATCGTACGTCTCCCTAATAGGCGAATTCGAACTGAAGCGATTCGGTGAAATTCTTGAACGTAAAATTATTCGATTGTACAATTCATACGTAATAATAGATATATATTTGCTGCAATTGCGACGCAAATACCTTAAGACTCCAGGATACTCGCTATAGCTGTCCTTCTTTGATGACGTCAGAGGCGAAGAAAATCATGATAATCTATGTGATGATATATATGTGGAAATAAAAGAATATACGCACAAAATAACATTCGTGATCGATTCAACACATTTGTAAAAATGTCTGAACGCTCTCCTCTATCCTAAATAATTAATAAATAACCATAAATTAGTGTAACATGCAACTTACGTTTTTAACTTATCTTTTTTTGTGATTTCTGTTACATTAATTTATAGTTATTTATTAATTATTCAATTTAAAAGAAAGCGTTCTGATATTTTTACAAAAGTTTTACTGAATCGATTATGAGTGTTATTTTGTGCGTATATTTTTTTATTTTCATATATACTGTCACATAAATTGGCATGATTTTCCTCGCTTCTGACGTCATCAAAGGATAGCCATTGCGAATATCCAGGAGCTTCAACTTTCTGACAGTAAGATTGGGATTGAATGTGACTTCACGGTTAATTTATTTTACAACGTGCATCTGCTGTTTCTCTCCTTAAGGAACATTTCATATTTATTATTTAGTTATTATTTATTTCTTTTTACACATTTTGTACATTGGTTACATAAAAATAAATAAAACAGAGCATAGGGTCCCAACCTTACTTCCCTGGATACGTTGAAAATCCACCTTGCCGTTAGAACGTTAAAATCTCCACATATTTTCTCTATTCAGATATACAGTGAAAATTTTTGTGTTAGAAACAGTCCACCAAAATTTTGTCACTTTGAGAAGGTAAATGTTAATAAGGAATATGTTAATTTACTATAATATTTGTATACTTTTTAACATTTCCCCTATATTGAATTAGCACAAAGGTTTTAGTAAACCGTTTTCTTATAAATGCATAATATTATTTAATACTAAGTAATATTTCTGGAATATTAATAGATGATTATATGTCCGTTCCTAATAATATTTAAAAAATAATATTATTTGATAATATTATTGTAATATTATATATTTTTAAATATTCAACCTTATATATTTATTTATTTATTTATATAATTGTAGTTTTTTATTTCAAATGTATTGCAATACCAATTGTTTTATTATATAAATAATGTTATATATATTTTTCTATATTGTTATTTTTTTAATATTCTAAAAACATTTTTTACAACATGNATAACATTCTTAGAATATTATAAGAATTATTTATTATTATTTTAATATTTGATAATATTCATATAATATTATAGGAATATTACGCAACTTATAGCGTTTTAACACATTTTTTTCTGTATAGAACACAATATAAATATATCAAATCACAAAATCAGTATCGGATATATTTCGAGTATATTTTTAAATCGGCTACGCGACAGTTTGGTAAATCTAGTAGTCTAATCAAGCAAAAGCTGGAATTTGGTAAAAGAATGGCAGTAAATATGTATAAAGTGCAAAATGGGAAATATAATTATTTCTCCACTTTTTTTATGTTAATATTGGCCGAGTTAATATTGATGTATTTTTAAAATGAACCTCTCCGGTTACACTTTAATTTTTATTGTAAATATAACAACATGCTTTTCATAATCGTATGCAGATCATTATCATAAACGCTAGATTTTACGGCATACTTACGATTGGGCGCTTGGAGTGTACTTTTTTTATTATCGTATCTTAACAATGTACCCTAAACGTAAAAGCTATGATGCTAATTATTCGTTTTACACTAGCTTTACACTTAATATAAGCATTGAAAAAAGTTAAAATGGAGCTATTACTTACGTAAAATAAACGAAGTCTTGGACATAAAACGTAAATTTTACACCAACTTATGGACTTACGACAGAGCTGATAAGAGCTGCGCGTGCAGAATATTAAGTCCAGGAAAATTAAGTCGATAGTAGGTAAAAACGTCACGGTAACACAAGTTGTTTATAAAATCACGAAAAAAATAAAAGCACCGGCGCATCAGAATTGGGTTTAAAAACATCAGCACTTCCTGCTATGCGAGTCTCGCAGTTTTTTTGCAACATGCAGCCACCCGCAGGGACGTTCGTGCTATTGCTTCTGATATGTATGAACGTGCAGTTTTGTAAAGGTAAAGGAACACATAACATGTAATAAGAATCTATTTGAAAAGGATATTGGTAATTTAAATAGAAATAGGAAGATTTTAAGCGCAGAAGTCGGAACAATAAATCTTCTGAAAAATTGTACAACTCAGTACAGCAGTACAACCCGGGAAAAAAATTATTATATATGATTATATATAATTATATAAAATCATATCTGAATTTTGTCCATATATGTGGTCTCATATATGATCATATATACGAAAGAAAATTATGTTAGGTCATTTACTTAAATGTCGATATCACGTGTTGTCGAAAGCACAAGTAGCCGCAAAGCATTTACTTCGATTGTATTTTGCGTATAATTTGTAAACAACAGTATTTTTTCGTTGTAGACATATATGATTTATATCTAGTCAAATTTCATATATGGCAAGTTTCACATATGATTCTTTCTTTTTCCCGAGTCGCCATATAATACAGAAAAATCGTAGAGAAAATGAACATTTAATTTTCAGTTTCACTCTTGCGAGGAGACATTACAAGAGACTGTTTATACGTCGGATCATTTCACGCATCTTTTTTTCATTTATCCCTCGTTACCTTGCATCCATTTTACCTATTATTTTTAAGTATTTTCAAATAAAACTATATTTGTTTCTTACCAGCAGGGCGTATGTGAAAAAGTTCTGTCGTTATGTTAAAATAGCATGGTGGGCTTGGTGGTGGTGGTCAACGAATCCGTCAGTAGCGGCATCAACAGCAACAGAATCATCAACTGCTTATCCAGATACGTGTGATATATGGCATACGGAGGAGAATGGTGACTGGTCAACGCCAGAAGAATGCGCACGGCCATGTGGAGAAGAAGACGAGCCGAGATATTGTTATTATCGATTCGTCATCGAATATTACACGGTGAATAACGCGTACGTACTCTTGCATAGTATATAATTTAAAATTTTTCATGAAAATGAGAAATCCGTGCGGGAGATTTTGGTTGATGAAAAATCGATTTCAAATTGGCCAAAGTGAGACTTATCGCGTCTCTTGATGGACGCAAGAAAATAGCAGGGGAGACGACCGGACCTGGAAGTCACACAGGTCGGAAGTTACGAAACTTATATTTCACGTGATAATAAAGGAAAATATTCTTCTTTATAGTAGCTTGTTTATATCGTGTTAATCGATGTACGAAACGGCGTGTTAATCGGATGTACAGCCGCTTAATTATTCTCAACGAACATAAAGTAACGGTTATCCTATAAGCGTATAATATTATTTAATATTAAGTAATATTTCTGGAATATTAATAAATGGTTATATGTCTACTCCTAGTAATATTTAAAAAATCATATTATTTAATGTTACTGTAACGTTATATATTTTTATAAATTTTTTCAACTCTACGTATATGCATAATATATAATTGTAGTTTTTTATTTAAAATGTATTGCAATACCAATTGTTTTATTATATAAATAAAGTCGAAATCATTTTGTGTAAAAATACATTTTATACTCAAAAAATTATATATATATATATATTTTTTTTTTTTATTTTAATTAATTCTAAGAACATTTTTATAATATACCAAGAATATTATGTAAAGTGGACATATAACATCAATAGAATATTTCTACAATATTACAAAATATTACATAATACTTTTAGAATATCATAAGAATATTATTTTAATATTGAATAATATTTATATAATATTTTAGGAATGTTATGCGCTTATAGGATGTATAAATGTTAGTTGTAATTTCCTACTTAATAATATAACTGTTATTTATATATAACGCGTTTGTTATAACAGTTATATTATTGAGTAGAGAATTACAATTCACAATTATATAACTATAACTTCGTGTTTGCTGGGTCTAATATTGATTTGAAAAGGTTTGTTCATTAGATTTCTTTTGCATGCAGGGCATGCGATTTATGTCAACCACCGGTGGATGACTCAAGGATAAATTCAACATGCCAGTGCATTATAGGTGATGGATTTGAGAAAACGGTATTATCTATCAATCGTATGATACCAGGCCCGAGTATTCAGGTATGGATTCAAGATGATAGTAGCAATATATTTCCCATCAATATTAATTGTACAGGTTGCCTCACATTTCTGTCACATTATTTTCTTAATGAAAGATTCCTCGGTCGATTTGGAACCGAATTTTTCTTAATGAAAATGTTTCGCGAGACGTCGATAATTTTTTAATTATATATGCCGTTGTATAACAGCTCGAAAACATTTACAAAATATTATGTCAAAATGTTTATAAAATTCACGTGAAATCAATGTTCCAAAAGATTGATTTAACGTTTCGTGCTTACTGGGTATTTTGCTTTGACGTCTTCAGTACTCTTTTCTAATAAGGGGGTGCCTTTCATGCTCCCTTCTTATCATTGCCATTCCTTTCTCTTACGATAATGTATGGAAATTCTGATATTGCCGAGTTACAAACGAGTAATGATTTGTCAGGTTTGCAAGGGTGATGTTATCATTGTCGATGTAGTTAACGAAGCTGACGGTACTGAGGTGTGTATACATTGGCATGGAATTTTTCAAAAAAGTACTCCATACGCCGACGGTGTACCGCATCTGACGCAATGTCCAATTCTGTCAGCCAATACTTTCAGGTAAGGTATAATAAATAATTCGGACGTTAATTCTCTCCGTACCCGAAACTGAACCAAGCATTTCTCTACATCGTAAAAACCTTAATATTAAACAATATTATGTGCTAATAAACAATATTACGCGTTGAAATGTTGCTGCAACTTTGTTGCGCTGTATGGAAATACATAATTACACCTCGATTTCGCACGTCCGTTAATTGTCAGCGTTCATATCTCAGTTACCTACCATCTAATGTTAACTCCGTAATTTTCTAATAGCTTGAGTCCCCTTTTAGCATTTACCAATGTTAACCTACCCTGCTTATCTGTAGGTATAGCTTCGTTGCAAATAACTCGGGTACACATTGGTATCACTCGCATGTACTTACGCATCTTATGGACGGACAGCTTGGATCTTTAATCATACGCGATCGACCTGAATGGGAGTTTTTCGCTTATAGCGAAAAGTATTTATACGATGAAGACGTCCCGGAACACGTAATTGTGATCAGCGATTTATTTCATACATTATCGACAGAACGTTATCCTGGCCTATTTAGGCAACAAATGGCTAGAGGACAAGCCGCGGAAAATTTTTTAATTAACGGCAGAGGCGATTGGACGGTGAGAGCGATTTTCAATTACAATAATCATTATTTACCTCGATAGTAATTTAATAATCGAGAATTAAAAATCTCATAATATTCATATATCAACAATTAAGGTACCGATTCATGAGACACTCGTACTGCCAGTGACGACATGAAACAAATCTTATGAGTAATCGAGTGTTAATACTGAAAGACAGGTGTTCAAGAGATAGGGCTACTTCTTTGTTCAGGAAAATGCCAGGAACTTTTTAGACAGACCGTGTACATATTGTCGGAAAAGAAGGAAAGAGATCGATCACGTTTTGTTGACAAACTTCATAATCTAGTAAACACTACCCTATAAGCGGAATATTATATGAATATTATTAAATATTAAAGTAATATTCTTATAATATTATAGGAATATTCTGTTGATATTACATATCCACTTCATATAATATTCTTGGCATATTATAAAAATGTTCTTACAATATTAAAAAAAAAGAATAATATAGAAAAAAAATATATGATTTTTTAAAATATAAAATGTATTTTTACACAAAATATTTCGACTTTACTTATATAATAAAACAATTGATATTGCGACACATTTGAAATAAAAAAACTATAATTATATATATTATATATGTACGTAGAGTTGAATATTGGAAAATATATAATATCACAATATCACAATAACTTTGAATATAATATAATATTATATAATATTATTTTAATATAATAGAATATAATATTATTTTTTAAATATCATTAGGGATAGATATATAACCATCTCTTAATATTCCAGAAATATTCCTTAATATTAAATAATGTTATTAAAATATTACAATAGAATATTTATTGCATTATTACATTTATATTACATTTAATATTTTAAAAATACTGTTACGCTCGCGCGGGGAAATAAAACGAGACAACGTTAAGTGAGAAACAACTTCAACTATATATTTGCTATTTACAAGAAAGCACGCGTAACTCGCAGACTCAAGCTCTCTCTCTCTCTCTCTCTCTCTCTCTCTCTCTCTCGCGAAAGACCGATGCGCACGTCGCGGCGATTCGACCGCCCCAGAGAGAATCTCCTAAACCCGTTGTTTATCGGTCAATGCTAATCATCTGTTGTTGACGACTCGTTGTCAAGAGAATCAGCTGTACATTCAGAGCGCTAAAAGCGCGGGCATCAAGACACGGGCGTAACAATACACTCAGAATATTACTTAATATTAAGTAATATCACGCGCTCATAGGATATCAGTAACATCTATTATATAATGACTAACATCTATTATATAATGACATATAATGTTATAATCTGTTATAATATAACAGTTACATAAGAGTTATATTAAGTTAATTTCGAAAGCGAAAAACTAATCTTTGAAATGCTCCCATATAGTAGAAATGTCCAATATACATCATAAGGATATCCTAAGTATATCGCGATGTCTTTAAGATGAAATCCCAATAATATATTTTGGGCATTTCTTCTATACGTAGGTTCTGGCAAGAAATCTTTGTGATTCCTTATATCTCGGCATTGTCAACATATATTACGACTTGGCTGTACTCGAGATTGATATGTTTCATGATTTTTATAGGATCCTGCGACTAATAGGAGCAATAATATTGCACTTTCGCAATTTAGAGTAAGAAGTGGAATAAAATACAGATTCCGCCTTATCAACGCATGCGGTACAGTTTGTCCAATCACTTTTACAATTCAAAATCATCCACTGGAGATAATTGCTACGGATGGCGAAAATATGGTGCCTAGAACTGTAGATGGTATCATCTGTACTTCAGGTAATGTCTATTCGATGTATAATCGACGTTTCATTCAATTCCGCGAGCGACCTAAAAATATCCATTGCCCTTACCGGGGGATTCATACCGCATCCAACGTCCGACATACGACTGACGATATCCAATAGCAGGACACGTTTTCTGGATACAAAAATGTTGTTAATTAGGAGACCCTATAAAATAAAATCTTCTATTGAATATCGGATTATCATACGTCGGAGTTTTGAATATTCGAGATAAATTATCGATCACTAGCTTGGCGGTGATAAATTCCCGTAAGGAAGATGTCAGCCTCGCGCAATTTTTATTCTCGATAAATAAAATTGAACTCCAGATATATCGATGAATGTTCCATGAACCTAGGTGAACGTTACGATTTTGTTCTAAACGCGAATCAATCCTTGGGTCAGTACTGGATTATGGTGCGAGGACTCGGTGAATGTGAAAAAACATTAGCTTATCAATTGGGAATCCTCGTTTATGAAGGCAGCCCCACATCATCACTGTCAGCCAGGCCAAATTATTCAAACATATCTCAACCTCAGAGTGTCGTAAGTATATCGGGTGTTCCTAAATTTACAATAAATTACACTGTATAATTACAATAAATTACACAGTAGACGGAGTAAAATATTTAGCGAAATTTTCTTAAATTCACAATTAAGAAAAACAAAAGGTAGAAAGTGCCTTGATTATTCTCTACGCACGATTTGTATAAATAAATTCGACGGTATCATTATGAAAAAATATGCAAGCATTGCCGTAGCAAGCTCGAGCTCAGGTGGAGAGGTTCGCTTCGAAAATCGCTAAAAGGAGTCGCCTCGTGTGCACGGTGGTTTTATACGTGGGAGTAGTGTTGTTATGTATTTATTAATTGTAAACGGAGAGCATTTTGAGAAGCGATAAAGCCAATTTCAGAAATTAATTGTGCGTTTTTTTTTTATATGATTTTGCGAAAACTTTCGGAGCAACCCTCGTAAACTGCGTTCATATGATAAGATATATTAATATTTAGTAAAACATTTCAGATTAATCCTCTGAATGCCTCGAACTGTGATGTTAATGTCTGCATAGACGATATACAAAAAGTATCATACTACGACGACACCAAAATACCGTTGGATACAGAACCGGATATAACATTACCAATGTTATTCGGTTTTTTTAATTACAGTTTATCACAACAGTCTATGAATTCACTATTTAGTACGAAAGATCCGGATTACAAAAAATTCTTCGGTAAATATTATTTAATATACGAATTGAAGAAAAAGTTGAATTTGAATTGAATTGAAAGTTAAATTTAAAAACACAACGAGACAATGAAGAAAACGTGTGATAAACACGTGACAAAGATTACCACATGTTCATTCTTGTGTGATACATAATCTGTGATAAATATATTTTTGTGTATGTGTTTTTCAGTTGCTATCGATGGATCTCATCTAAGTGCTCAAATTAACAACATTTCGTTTAAAGACCCACCTTCACCTCCTCTCTCGCAGCACATAGATTATGAAAAGATATGTCCAAATGCGTACACGCCGCCTACATGCACACAGCCATGCACTTGTACCGATGTTTTTCACATTCCTTGTAAGGCAACGGTAGATGTGATGCTCGTTGATATAGGTATGTATGTGTGTGTGCGTTTATTGTACATGATACTTTCAAAAATATACAGGGTATATTTGAGAAAACAGTGACTTTGAAGTGAAAAAATTTGGCAAAGCCAATAAGAGTCGAGCGCCAGATGTTGCTGTGAATAAATACAGGTCAGATATTATATTTAAAATTAAGTTCATCTTCGGATACTGTGGAAAGTCGCTTCATTGTTTACAAAGCATCTGGACATGAACTTAAAACGATCTTAAATATAACATTTGACTATATGCTTGTGTGAATATCGATCTATAAAGTTCACTAGTATAAATTAACAATTATAAATTAACCGCACAATTAATATAAATTAACAGTTTTAATAACGTTAAAATGTAAATGGTGAATCGTTGTTGTACTGAATTATAGGATTTTTTAATTGTAATGTGTTCACAGACAATATAAACGTACTAAATCATCCGTTTCATCTGCACGGTTATAGTTTTTGTGTATTACGGTCGCGCACGTTCCCTGATAAACAGGACAACAGTCAAATATCATCAGAAGATATAAACAAAGTGTTGCAAGAACATCAGGAAAATTTGAAAAATAATATTTATAACTCCTGCGCTCCTAAAGATACTGTAGTTGTACCAAGTGGCGGTTATGTCATCTTACGTTTTGTGGCCGACAATGGAGGTTAATAGCGTTCATACAGCTATAGAATATATATACACACGTATACATATGGACTGCGTTCTCACGTCTATGTTAAATTGCAGGTTGGTGGTTCTTCCATTGTCATTTCGCTTGGCACACCGCGGCAGGAATGAACGTTGTTTTCCATGTTGACTGCCCGGTACCACCTGAACCAGAATGCTTTCCAAAGTGTTATGACTATTTGCCACCACCGGTAAATGAATATGGCCAGTATGAACATGATCAGGATGAATACTGGGATGATTAATTCAATTTATTCCACGATTAAAATGAAAACATTTTTTTAAACGGCACCCTGTTTTTTAACTTTTGGTAATTTCCCGAGAAGAAATGATTATGTATGATTACATAGAATTTTATATAATTATATATAGTCATATATAATCATATTTTACCGGGAAGTTACCAAAAGTTAAATAACAGGATTCCGTTTAAAAAGACAAACTTTTTATTTTAATCGTAGAATAAATTGAATTGTACATATATGATAATATAAATTGTATAAATATGATGAATAAATTCATTCGTTCGCATAAATAAAATCATATATATATGTATATATATGATTCAATTTATTCATCATATTTATACAATAATAATATAAATATATATGATAATATAAATTGTATAAATATGATGAATAAATTGAATCATATATATATA